AAGAGAACATCATCAGGTTGCTGCTTGGTGATAAAACCATCTTCACCAGGAATCAGTCGGTCTAAAGGTTCTGAAACACGCACCGCTGGTTCTGGTTCTGCAGAAAGAAAGATGAACTTTATCGCAGATTAGGAACATTTGGTCATAATAACACAGATGACTGGATTTGATCATTTGCTGTCTGAACGATGTGAGAACCACTCATTGATGCTGTCCTCATGCAAACCAAAGGCCCAGATCATGACACCTCCACCTCTGTGCTGGACTCTGGAGTTTTTATCAATAAATGAGAGCGTCCATATTGTTAGCCCCTCCCACTTCCTGCTTCTTCAGGTGAAAATATCAAACAGTTTCTGATCTTCAGACAGCAGCAGGCAGAATGAACAGGGAGCAAAGCGTGATGATGAGCAGCAGGCTGGAAGGCTGGGATCTCCTGCTGGCGTGAACATCTGGAAGCAGCTGCTGCTTTGTGACGGAGGAGGAAGGAAACCATGAGGCAGTAACCTCTGAGCTCAGGTTCAGATTCTGACCCGGTTCTCCTGGTTCTGGTCCAGATACTCGCCGCTGCTCATTTTCCCTCAGCAGAGGTTGCCTAGCAACAGCATAACAGTGCCTGTCTCCCTGACCTCTGAGCTGTGGGAACAGGCGGCGCCTCGCAGCGGCGGCTCTGTGGGTCGTTTGACAGTTAGTGCTGCGGAGAAGCTCTTCCTGTTGACATTCAGAACCGCCCGCGGTCCAAAGCGAGTAGCTGGATATAAACACACGCTCACATGTATACATTACTGGCCTCATGGCAGGAGTACTGGACTCATTCCCAGTCAGTCACTGGTTTGTTTGAAGTGAACTGAAGTTTTTCCTTTATTTCTGTGGAGGAATGTTTGAGATAAATCCTGATGGTTTGATCCAAAGAAGCTGTTTACTCACCATCTGAGCTCAGATGCAAACAGATATCAACCATTTTCAGCAGAAAGCTTCGCTGCTGGGGACAGGAAGACGACTGGGAACCAGTTTGGTCCCACAGTTTGGGGTCCCTCCCCCTGCAGCTGGCATGTGGGGATCCAGGGGCCTCTGGTTTCACTGGTTGGTCCAAAGTAAGACCAGTCAGTGACTCTATGTGGGACCAATCTACTATAGAAAATGGATGGTTGTTCAGCAAAGCTCCTCTAACGCTCAGACTGTCCTTCATTTCCCTCCTTGGCTTTATTCTCACACTGAATCCTGATGTTTGGCTCTGAATTCACATCTGGATGTTTCTGTCTGAGAGAGATGGAGATTAGATGGAGATTAGATGGAGATGTACAGGTGAGGGTGGGAAGTAAAAAGCAGAACATTAGTTGGTTGTTGGGGAACTCATTATTATTTACAGCAGATGTTATTCTCTGTCTTCCAGCCTCAGCGTTTCCAGCCCAGATGTTCCACAGGTTCTCTCCTGTTCCTGTGAGTTCTAAGGAGGTTCTGCTGGATCCTCCAGGTGGTTCTGATGAAGGAACTTCAGGGCAGATCTGATCATCAGAACGTTTCCTGTCAGGAGATTCCTTCAGTTTTTCTCTGTGAGGATGAGGGAGCAGAGGGAGAGGAGGAAGGTGATTGGTGACATCATCGCTCGCTCTGCTCAGATCCTCACCAAACAGGGAGATGTGTCTGGATTTCATTTGCCCCCCCGCACCCCCCCTCCCTCCGCATTTTTTCCCTCCTTCCTTCAGAGAAAGGGGGAGGAGAGGAAGGGATGGCCTACCTCCAGCACTACTTTGTTCCTCCCCAGCTCTGGACTCTGCTCCACACCTCCTCTGGTTGGAGACCTGGAGGCTGCTCGTGTCCCTCCGTCTGTCTCAGTGTCCTTACCTCCACCCTGCTCAGCGTCCTTCCTCGGGGGGGAGAGTCCGAGGATTTCTAGCAGGAGGAGAATGAGCAGAAGTCTTTCATAGCTCAGTATCTTTATCCTTCAGAAAAAGAGACGGTGGAGAAGTTCTGCTTCATCTCTGGGTGAGTCATGATGGGGGGGTGTGGGGGGGTGATAATTACAGCTCTGCACTTTCTGGCTTATGCCCCGTAAAATATACGAGATTGTGCGTTTAGCGCCGCGACCCAAACCTGTGTTTAAGTGGTGAGAGCGTCTCCAGGGCAAAAGGTGAAGGAGCAGAGGGAGCCTGCAGGGCGGCGCTCCCAGCAGGAGGAGACGCTCTGCTCTGGGCTCACATTCAGGAGGAGCTGCAGAGATGCTCCTTCCTGTCTGAGCTTATGCTGAGTCCACTGGTAGGACTGGGAATGGTGAAAGGTTCTGGTGTAGAGCTAGAAGTTTCCACAGCAGCAGCAGCAGCAGCAGCAGCAGAGCCCCTCCCTGCAGGGATCCAGGGGTGGAACATCTGAGGACGACGCTGTTTTCCAAACTGCTGGCCAGATTGGAGGAATGTATGGATGCCAGGCTGACTGGTTTTACTGGGCCAGGTGTGAGTCACTGGGTGGGAGGTTCTGCCTGGATTAAACTAGTTCTTCTATTTGGACCCGTTTTATTTGGAGCTGCTGCTGCTGGAATGAGGAGGAGGCAATAAATAACGGAGGTTTGTGTTTTACGGCGTCTCCAGTTTCCAGTTTTTCTCCCGTTGATGAAGCACAGATGTTTGGAAGGTTGGAGGAGCTTTTCTGAAGGTGAAGAAGATCCCTGGATCTGAGCGACTAACAGCTGGAACAGCTGGATCCTTCATCTCCTCGCTCCGATTGGCTGCTGCGCCCACAGCGCTCACAGGTGTCAGACGCTCTAACGCCGCCCAGATGTGTGCACCGCAACCCCCCCCCCCCTTCCTACCCCCTGTTATTGATGCTCCATCATCTGCTGCACACATGGGGGGGGGGTTCCTGTAATCTACAGCTGCTGCTGGGTTTTCAAATGAGCCTCCATCAGAACCGGGTCACTTCTGGTCTGGACCGCCTATTGGCCTGTTGAGGGGCTGGGGTTCCCATAGAGGGGGCCAGGCCCCCTGGGGGGTCCCAACACAGTTTCCACAATCAGAAATCCCTGAGTTATATACAGGAGAAAAATGCAACAAAATACATAAATGAACCATAAGATATTTACATATATCTTATGGACTGAACGGTTTGGGAGCTGCTTGTTTAAAGGATGTTATAAAGGAGAAAGATTTAATGACTCATCAGAATAAAACAATCCAGCTGTGAATCTGTTCAGGTAGAAAAATGAGTGAAAAGATTCATCAGGAATCTACATCAAAGCAAACTCTGACCCTGAAACAGAAGAATATGAACCTAAAACCATTTAATGTACAGATGTTTAGAAATCATTCCCCCCCCCATCCTTTCTCTGCCTGGAAC